TTGAATTCAAAGATGATGTCTTTTCATTATTCATTTTGGCTAGTCTTATCTTTTCTTCATCTTATTCTTGCTTTTTTATCCCAACTTTCTCGGTTGAATCCTTTCCAACCATTAAAATAAGTCATGTGAAATCAGAGAGGTGGCAATATGGCTGTAGATTTGGACAGAATCACACCACTGAAGTTATTTGAATTCAAAGATGATGTCTTTTCATTATTCATCTTTATTCATCTTATTCTTGCTTTTTTTATCCCAAGTTGAATCCTTTTCAACCATTAAAATAACCATTAAAATTCTTCATGAGTTATTTGAATTCAAAGATGGTCTTTATTTCAGTCTTTTCTTCAATTCACTTTTTATCCCAACTTTTCTTGATTGAATCCTTTTTTTTATCATGTGAAAAGAGATGCAAACTTTTCATTATTCAGTTTTTTAATTCAAAGATGAAGTTGAATCTTTTCTTTTTATTCCCAATCCCAACCATTAAAATAAGTCATGTGAAATCAGAGAGGTGGCAATATGGCTGTAGATTTGGACAGAATCACACCACTGAAGTTATTTGAATTCAAAGATGATGTCTTTTCATTATTCATTTTTGTCTTTTCTTCATCTTATTCTTGCTTTTTTATCCTAACTTTCTAAAATAAGTTCAGTTTCATTTCCAACCATTAAAATTCATGAAATCAGAGAGGTGGCAATTATTTGGACAGAATCACACCACTGTTATTTGAATTCAAAGATGATGTCTTTTTTTTAGTCTTTTCCCAACTTTCTCAGTTTCCTTTCCAACCATTAAAATAAGTCATGTGAAATCAGAGAGGTGGCAATAACTGTAGATTTGGACAGAAATGAAGTTATTTGAATTCAAAGATGATGTCTTTTCATTATTCATTTTGCCTAGTCTTTTTCTTCATCTTATTCTTTTTTTTTATCCCAAGGTTGAATCCTTTCCAACCATTAAAATAAGTCATGTGAAATCAGAGAGGTTTGTAGATTTGGACAGAATCACACCATTGAAGTTATTTGAATTCAAAGATGATGTCTTTTCATTATTCATTTTTGGCTAGTCTTTTCTTCATCTTATTCTTGCTTTTTATCCCAACTTTTCTCGGTTGAATCCTTTTTTCCAACCATTAAAATAAGTCATGTGAAATCAGAGAGGTGGCAATATGGCTGTAGATTTGGACAGAATCACACCACTGAAGTTATTTGAATTCAAAAGATGATTTTGTCTTTTCTTCATCTTATTCTTCATCCCAACTTTTTTGAATCCTTTCCAACCATTAAAATAAGTCAGAAATCTTTTCTGTAGATTTTCATCTTATTTGAATTCAAAGATGTCTTTTCATTTTATCTTTTCATCATTCTTGAATTTTTATCCATTAAAATAACTTTCTCGGTTGAATCCTTTCCAACCATTAAAATAAGTCATTTGAAATCAGAGAGGTGGCAATATGGCTGTAGATTTGGACAGAATCAAACCACTGAAGTTATTTGAATTCAAAGATGATGTCTTTTCATTATTCATTTTGGCTAGTCTTTTCTTCATCTTATTCTTGCTTTTTATCCCAACTTTCTTGATTGAATCCTTTCCAACCATTAAAATAAGTCATGAAATCAGAGAGGTGGCAATATGGCTGTAGATTTGGACAGAATCACACCACTGAAGTTATTTGAATTTGTGTTTTTCATTATTCATTTTTTTGCCTAGTCTTTTCTTCATCTTATTCTTGCTTTTTATCAAAGATGATGTCTTTTCATTATTCATTTTGGCTAGTCTTTTCTTCATCTTATTCTTGTTTTTATCCCAACTTTCTTGGTTGAATCCTTTCCAACCATTAAATAAGTCATGTGAAATCAGAGAGGTGGCATGGCTGTAGATTTTGAATCCTGAAGTTATTTGAATTCAAATGATGTCTTTTCATTATTCACCAGTCTTTTCTTGACGAACTTTCTCAGTTGAATCCTTTTCCAACCATTAAAATAAGATGTGAAATCAGAGAGAGGTCAAATTTCATTTGGACAGAAACAGTTATTTTTCAAAGATGATGTCTTTTCATTATTCATTTTTAGTCTTTTCTTCATCTTATTCTTGCTTTTTATCCCAACTTTCTCAGTTGAATCCTTTCCAACCATTAAAATAAGATCTATGAAATCAGAAGGTGACAAAGAAAAACAGATTTGGACAGAATATGAAGTTGAAAATCAGAGAATTCAAAATGATGTCTTTTCAATTCAATTTTCTAGTCTTTTCTTCATCTTATTCTTGCTTTTTAAATTAAAATAAGTCATGTGAAATCCAATATGGCTGTAGATTTTGAATCACACCACTAGTTATTTTGAGTCTTTTCATTATTCCCAGTCTTTTCTTCATCATCTTTTTATCCCAACTTTCTGGTTGAATCCTTTCCAACCATTAAAATAAATGAAATCAGCCAGTTTTCGAAGATTAGATAACTTTCTCGGTTGAATCCTTTCCAACCATTAAAATAAATGAAATCAGAGTCTGTAGATTTGGACAGAATTATTCAGCCAGTTTTCTTCATCTTATTCTTGCTTTTTATCCCAACTTTCTTGTTTGAATCCTTTCCAACCATTAAAATAAGTCATGTGAAATCAAATTGGCTGTAATTTGGACAGAATCACACCATTGAAGTTATTTGAATTCAAAGATGATGTCTTTTCATTATTCATTTTTGGATAGTCTTTTCTTCATCTTATTCTTGCTTTTTATCCAACTTTCTTATCTAATTGAATCTTTTCCAACCATTAAAATAAGTCATGTGAAATCAAAGAGACAGAGAATCCATTGAAGTTATTTGAATTCAAAGATGAAGTCTTTTCATTATTCACTAGTCTTTTCTTCATCTTAGAACAGAATCACACCATTGTTATTTGAATTCAAAGATGAAGTCTTTTCATTTTGAGTCTTTTTCTTCATCTTATTCTTGCTTTTTATCCCAACTTTCCCTTCCAACCATTAAAATAATCATGTGAAATCAGAGAGGTGGCAATATGGCTGTAGATTTGACAGAGTCACACCATTGAAGTTATTTTGAATTCAAAGATGAAGTCTTTTCATTATTCATTTTTGGCTGGAGTCTTTCTTCATCAACTTTCTTGATTGAATCCTTTTCCAACCATTAAAATAAGTCATGAAATCAGAGAGGGTGGCAATGGGGCTGCAGAAGTAACAGATTTGGACAGAAAACCATTTTAGAAGTTTTTTCAATTCTTTTTAAAGAATGTCTTTCCAACCATTTTCATTATTCATTTTTAAGAATTCATCATTCTTGGACAAACTTTTCGTGAATCCAACCATTAAAATAAGTCTAAATCAGAGAGGTGGCAATATGGCTGTAGATTTGGACAGAAAAAAGATTCAAAGATGAAGTCTTTTCATTATTCATTTTTGGCTAGTCTTTTCTTTTTCATCTTATTCTTGCTTTTTATCCCAACTTTCTTGATTGAATCCTTTCCAACCATTAAAATTCAAATTGAAGTTATTTGAAGAGTCAGATCTGATTCTTGCTTTTTATCCCAACTTTCTTGGTTTTTCTCCAACCATAAAATAAGTCATAGATTTGGAAATCAGAGAGGTGGCAATATGGTGGACAGAATCACACCATTGAAGTTATTTGAATTCAAAGATGATGTCTTTCATTATTCATTTTTGCCTAGTCTTTTTCTTCATCTTATTTTCTTGCTTTTATCCCAACTTTCTTGATTGAATCCTTTTCCAACCATTAAAATAAGTCATGTGAAAAATCAGGGCATGTGAGATTCATATGAAAAGATGATGTCTTTTAGAATCCTTTCCAACCATTAAAATAAGTCATGTGAAATCAGAGAGGTGGCAATATGGCTGTAGATTTGGACAGAATCACACCATTGAAGTTATTTGAATTCAAAGATGATGTCTTTTCATTATTCAAGTCTTTCTTCATCTTAGCCATCCTTTTCCAACCATTAAAATAAGTCATGTTTTTCCTTCAAAGATCATCTTTTCATTATTTTGTCTTCGAACAGAACAACTTTCTCGGTTGAATCCTTTCCAACCATTAAAATAAGTCATTTGAAATCAAGAAGGCAATAGAATAGATTTGGACAGAGTCAAACCACTGAAGTTATTTGAATTCAAAGATGAGTCTTTTCATTATTCATGTCTTTTCTTCATCTTATTCTTTTCATCTTTTTTATCCCAACTTTCTTGATTGAATCCTTTCCAACCATTAAAATGAATCATGTGAAATCAGACAGGTGGCAATATGGCTGTAGAACAGAATCCACCACTGAAGTTATTTGAATTCAAAGATGATGTCTTTTCATTATTCAGAAGTCTTTTCTTCAACTTCCCGACGAATAAAGTAAGAAGTGTGAAATCAAAACAAACAATTGTCTAGAAAAATATTTGGAGACCCAATGGTTTAACCAATTCAGCCATCGAAGATTAGATGGCAATGCTAGACGGGACACAAATTTGCAATCATCCGAACGCACATTGGATTAGTGATAGATGCATTTCGAAAGCTTAACGAAGTACTAAGAAACAGAACAAAATTCGTTATAAACAAAGAAACGAAGATTTGATATCCTCCCCTTATATGGCTGTGAATGTTGGACAATCTCCCCGCAGATCAAGAGGGAGATGGGGACAACAGAAATTCTGTTCTACAGAATGATACTAAGAATTCCATGGACAAAACGCGTATCCAACAAATGCTAAATGGCAACAAAAAGACCGCTTATGGCCAGAATTAAACAGAGACAGATGAATTTCTTGGATAGATTATGAGGAATATGGCTCGGTGAACATGACCTTCACAAGGCATACTGAGGGCATGTGAGATAGTGGATAGTGGACGGCAGCTAGCCACCTTTACCTGGAGTGCTTGTTCGAAGAGAACATCGTGCGGTTTGGCAAAAGTTGAAAGACTTCCAAGGTCAAGAAGAGATAGAATGCTTTGGAGAGCCATGATTGACCATTCATGAAGTGACACATAGAAGAAGAAGAAGAAGAAGAAGAAGAAGAAGAAGAAGAAGAAGAATGAGGAAGAGGCGGAGGGGAAGTATGAGGAAGAGTAGAAGGAGGAGGAGGCGGCGACGGGGCAGAAGAAGAAGAAGAAAAAGGATGAGTAGGAGGCAGAGGGGAAGCAGGAGGAAGAGTAGAAGAAGAAGGAGGAGGAGGCGACGGGGTAGTAGGAGAAGGACTAGAAGAAAATCAAGAAGAAGATGAAGAAGAAGAACAATGGGAGCAGAGAAGAAGAAGAAGAAGAAGAAGGAGGAGGAGGAGGAGGCGAAGTAGGAGAAGAAGAAGTAGTAGTAGGCGGAGAAGAAGACGAAGAAGAAGATGAAGGAGGAGAAGGCGGCGACGGGAGTAGTAGTAGTAGTAGTAGAATAAGAAGAAGTAGAAGGCGACGAAGAAATTGATGAAGAAGAAGAAGAAGAAGAAGAAGAAGAAGAAGAAGAAGAAGAAGAAGAAGTGCAGAGGGAGGAGGAAGTAAATAAGAGAAACTGATGCAAATTTCCCCTTGCTTTCTGAGATGGAATATTTAATTAAATTAATTAATATTTAATTAGATATAACGCCATATTATTACAATTCATATTCTTTATATGGGGACAGCTGTCATAACTTTGTTGTTATCACAACGTTTCAGTAGGTTTAGATCGACTCAGTAACCTGCAGGAAATTCCGAACAAATCATTTATTTAATCAACGGTTTAGAAAGTTCTTATGCCACTGACCATGTCTCAGGATATCTTACCTTGTTCTTTTTCTTAGTACTTCACGGTTAATGCTCACCCTGTTTCCACTGAATCCAAGTCCACACTGCCGGGACCAGGGATTGAACTCACAATTACTATATAACCGTGATGGTTCCTGAATTTGGTTACTTTATGGGTTACCCGAATCGTCATACACCTGATGAAAACCGGGAGACACAATGGCCGAAACTCTTCAACCCAGAAACTCAGACGGAAATTAGTATTAATATAAGCTTCCAATAATCATAAAGTGGGGGATCTGTTTTGTATTGTTATTAACTAATAAACTGATCCCCCATTAATTACTACTAAGGGTAAGGGCTCAAGAAAATATCATTTTTGACAACATATATTAATGGAAGATTCTACTGGTCATAAAATGGGTGATCAGTTTTATATTGTTGTTAAGTAATAAACTGATCCCCGATTAATTCCCACATATTAATAATTGCAAACAAATATATTTAAAGATTCGCCTGTTGGCCATAAAATGGGTGATCAGTCTTATATTGTTGTTAAGTAATAAACCGATCCCCCATTAATTACCACATATTAATAATTGCAAACAAATATATTTAAAGATTCACATACAAAAAGATTCCAATAATGGTAAGTGCTCAAGAAAATGACATTTTCGACAGCATGTATTAATGGAAGATGCTGTTGGTCATAAAATGGGTGATCAGTCTTGTATTGTTCTTAAGTAATAGACTGAACTCCGAGAATTACTACATAATATAACTTTAAGAATATATTTAAAGACTGACAAGGCAAAGGTGAACTTGTCATAATATAAGATTTAAAATGACATAAAGTGGGGGTTTAGTTTTGTGTTTTTATTAAGTAAGAAACTGATCCCCGAATTTACTACATATTAATAATTGGAATAATATATTCAAAAACACATACTTATTAAGAACTTAAGAAAATATCATTTTTTTGGCAGCATAGATAAACTGGTATGAAGATTCTACTGGTGATGAAGTGGGGGATCAGTTTTCTATTTTTATTAAGTAATAAACTGGTCCCCCATTAATTACCTTATATTAATAATTGCAAACAAATATATTTAAAGACCAGCATATGAAATCCATCTTATAATAGTAAGAACTTTAAATATAATTTTGCCAACATGGATAAACTGGTATTAAGATTCTACTAGTCATAGAATGGGGATCAGTTTTCCATTTTATTAAGTAATAAACTGATCCCCCATTAATTGCATTATAATTGCGAACAAATATATTTAAAAACCAGCATATGAAATCCATCTTATATGGGTAAGAACTTAAAATATCATTTTACCAACATAGATAAACTGGTATTAAGATTCTACTAGTCATAAAGTGGGGGGGGTCAGTTTTCTATCTTATTAAGTAATAAACTGATCCCCCATTAAGACCAGCTTATGAAATCCATCTAAGTGTAAGATCTTAATGAAATATCATTTTGGACTGCATGGGCAAACTGGTATTAAAATTAAAATGGTCGTAAAGTGGGGGTTCGGTTTTCTATTGTTATAAAGTAATAAACTGATCCCCTATGAATTACTACCTGTTAATTATTGGAAATAGATATATTTAATTACATATTGCATCGTATTACTGTTGCTTTTTTATATCAGGGGTTTACTAGTCTCCATATCCACGCTATATGAAGACCTGTGGTGTGACTTCGGACCCCACATTTTTTGCTAGAACTGAAATCTAAGCAAAAGACCTAATTAGTATTCTTGGCATCATTCTACATGACAATACTCTTGTATTCTCTGAAAAAAATTAACGTCATTAATGTTCTCATGTTTTTTTAGATACGTCATATATAGAGAGAAGGTTTACGGCCACATTACATTAAGACTCCGGTTACCGTATGATCGCCGAAGTTAAGCAACGTCGAGCTTGGTTAGTATCTAGATGGGTAACCGCTTGGGTGTGCCAGGTGCTGTATGCTTGGAGGTGTGGTTGGTGTAATTATTCCACTTGATCCTTGATTAGTTTACACGTATGTCACTCCCTTACATTGCCTCAGATAAATAATAGCCCATTCCGTTTTGATTGAAAGACGGATATACCGGGTGTAACAGCAAAATTGTTGAAATCGTGGAACAGCATGGGATAATTGTCCATCCCACAAAATGTTTAATATCTAAAAAAAATCCACTAAATAAATTGAGCCTCTTTTTTCAGCTTTTCAGATTAGACGTTTAGCCATCTTGATGCCATTTGTCGTAAGAATATCTGAAAAACCCTTTGAGTTATTCAGCTAGAAAGAGAGTAGGTTAAAATCGTCTTGTGTCAGCCCCACTATGTATTCCCAACTGAGCAATGGTGAGAGGAAAACGATCATTAAGGCCTTGAGAAATGGTACCAACATTCATACTCTGGCTTCCGTCTGCAAAGCCCATTCAAGAGTCATCAGGAGAACGGTGAATAAGTTTAAAACAGTGGGAACAGTAGAGAGGAAAACTATTTCAGGAGGCCACAACAGGATGAGGGATCATCAATTCAACTTAGAGCTAAAGACATCAATTAGAAAAGATCCAACTCAATCCATGAGACATTTGGCACGTGAGAGAGAAGTTTCAGCTATGACAGTTCAAAGAGCAGTGAAAATGAAATTGTAAGTGAAACGTGTGGGATACCTAGTTACACCAGGACAGAAATTTAGAAGGTTAGAGAGAAGATCATCTTCAGTAAGTTGGAAAAGGATCCTGGAATAATATATATATATATATTTGAACTTTATTTCAATCTTTCATGAGCTTCCGATCCTTAGCTATGATTAAATAATGATGAACATGCCATTTTCGTTTATGATCCATTTCATCGCAATTCTTCAGCTTGGAGAGTAATTATACATTCTTATTGCTCAGAGTCCATTAGTGTTATAAAAACCTCTGAGAATTCCAGTAAGATATCTTTAATCATTTCTAGGATACAACGGTTCAAAGCATAATCTAACAAATGGACAATTTTGCTGTTACACGATTTGGATAAAATTGCTGTTACACCCGGCATATAAGAGACGTTGTTTGGTTTTAGCGAAAAAAGAAAACATACGTATCAATAATAAAGACGCACTTCAACATGCCGTTATGGTTAACAAGATTGTCTTGCTATATCAATTACGATCAATTGCGATTGGGAATACAAGATACTGTAAGCTTGGGTGTGCGGGTGGTGTAATGGATAATGCCTCGGAATTTGAAATCGGAAAGCGGAGTTCCAATTCCGGTTGGGTTCGTTATATTCACTTACAGGCAAATACCCTTGGGAAAGCTACGGCTCTACTTCTTCTCCCCCAGCTATAGGTTAATTAGTAACTCCGCTATCATTAAACCATGATTATCTTCAAAAGAAATTCTGACCCCATATAAATATTTTCTGGGTTTAAATAACCTGCAAAGGGTTGCTAAACCGTAAAAATCGAATCAATCAATGTGGGCTACGTCACATTTCCTGAATATAAGTACAAATGAATAGCAAATATTTACGTATTTAAAAAAAAAATGTCTGCGGTAAGACAATAGGTCTAAAAATATAGTCATTTTATTATGAGGTTCGGATAAAAAAAAATGAAATCAGGAATCTTTAAAATGTAATATTTGACGTAATCCCCCCCACGCACACACACTTTTAACATCTGTTTAGTAGCCACCCCCACGTTTTCTTTTCTGACGCCGTGCCTCCTCCAAACTTAGGAATGAGATTTTGCAATATGTTCCAGGCATAGCGAACTCTACAATGTATAACGATACAAGTTCTCTCTTTTATAAAATTAACTGCTTATTAATGGGGGTTTTGTTTTGTCTTTTTTTTTGGGGGGGGTCTTTAGTTGTTTTTTTAATATCAGGTAGTCGTTGGCTTCATTTATATTATCAAACACAGGAGGAGGCGATGGACGTGAAGAAGGCGCCGAAAGTAATCGAAACTGATGACGACGTAAAATAGATGCGAGATAAAAAATCGAGATTGAGAGGAGATTCACTTGGGAGAGCCGAATGAACATGTCTTCGGAGCACCCCCCACCCCCCCGTCAGTTAGCGACATACAAGAGATGGACTAGGAGAGGGCTTTTCCCGCTATGGCACCGCCTACTTGGATCGATACCAACCAATGAGTATGTAAATGAACACGTGGAGGTGGTCGGACAGGCCACGTGCTTTACAGGATGGAGGGAATCGATAAACGGCTCTACAAAGGAAGAAAGAGGGAAAGAAGGAAAGAAAGATATTTACAGAGTTAACTAGATAAAGATAGATAGAAACAGACAACATATATATTAACATAGTTAAAAACAGACAACATATACATTAAAATAGATAGATAGATAGATAGATAGATAGATAGATACGAACAGACTGAGATAGATAGATACGACCAGACTTAGATAGATAGATAGATAGATAGATAGATAGATAGATAGATAGATAGATAGATAGATAGATACGAACAGAATGAGATAGATAGATAGATACGAACAGACTGAGATAGATAGATACGACCAGACTTAGATAGATAGATAGATAGATAGATAGATAGATAGATAGAACAGATGGCAATAGATAGATAGAACAGATGGCAATAGATAGATAGATAGATAGATAGATAGATAGATAGATAGATAGATAGATAGATAGATAGATAGATAGATACGAACAGATTGAGATAGATAGATAGATAGATAGATAGATAGATAGATAGATAGATAGATAGATAGATGAGAATGAGAGAGATGAGATAGATAGATAGATAGATAGATAGATATTGAACAGACTGAGATAGATACGAACAGACTGAGATAGATAGATAGATAGATAGATAGATAGATAGATAGATAGATAGATAGATAGATAGATCATGAACAGAGATAGATAGATAGATAGATAGATAGATAGATAGATAGATAGATAGATAGATCATGAACAGAGATAGATAGATAGATAGATAGATAGATAGATAGATAGATAGATAGATAGATAGATAGATAGATAGATGAACTGACATAGATAGATAGATAGATAGATATGATAGATAGATACGAACAGACTGAGATAGATAGATAGATAGATAGATAGATAGATAGATAGATAGATAGATAGATCATGAACTGACAGAGATAGATAGATAGATAGATAGATAGATAGATAGATAGATAGATAGATAGATAGATGTGTGTGTTCGCGCCTGTGCTCGTCTAATAGATGTTCATTTTATGTAGATGACGTGATGACGTGTAGACATTGCCTGAAATACGCAGGAATCCACACTCATTTCCAGGTTCATCTCTAAATTTATGCGAACTTGAAGGAGACAAAGAAAAACATTGCTGAAGTTGCCTTCGTCCAGACATCGAGGAAAAAAAATAAAAACTAGGCCGAATGACTCAAGATTAAACACTCAATCAATTATTATTATTATTATTATTATTATTATCTCCCGAATATGGATGTTCTCTCCGGATGCCCTGTGATTACCGATGGAGATTGAGTGACAGCAAGTCACCTCCTGCAAGTCATTTTCTTTCAAACGAGTCCGGCTTTTGTGAATACTACTACTACTACTACTACTACTACTACTACTACTACTATTATTATTATTATTATTATTATTATTATAGATATTTTTTGACGATAAAAAGGTTTTCCCTTTTCTTTTATCTCATTATTATTATTGTTGTTGTTGTTGTTGCTGCTGCTGTTGTTGTACTTCCTTTCTCTTTCTGATTTTTCTTTAGACATGCTATTTCCACACACCACCACATGAGTTCGTCTTTCTTTCTTTTTTCTTTCTTTTTCTTTCTTTTCTTTTTTACTTCTTTTTATTACCATTAGTAGTAGTAGTTGTAGTAGTAGTATTAGTAGTAGAAATAGTAAAGTCTCTGGAGTTCAAGGGACAACAATATTCCTCACCCTTTTTCGAAACCTTGCCAATAATCTTTCCGGTTCCATTGACGATGCCATCTTGTAAGTGTGCTCGATTTACTCGCCTACTCAGTCTAACTTTGTCTGCCACAAGGTCACAATAACAGGGAGCGACATGAACAAGGAGGAACGAAGACGCCACACTAGTGAATGATCCCCCTCCCCAGCGCACTCTAATAGTTATCGCTCTCTGGCAGGCGCCCACTTTTTCTAACCCGTGCTTACTTCCTTGGTTTATTGCTGTGGTTGTTATTGGCATTACTTCTGCTGTAACTACTGCTGATGCATATATTGTTCCCGATTCATTGGCCGCGTGTTTTCTTCATGTGAATTTCCCTCGCTTTCTTTTTTAGTTTCCTCCTCTTCTTTTATTTCTCTCTAATTTCTCCCTCTTTCTTTGCCTCTCTCAAATTTCCTCATCTTCTTTTCCTCCTCTTCTTTGCCGCTCTCTAATATCCACTTTTTTTCTCTTTCTTTACGTTACTCCTCTTCTTTTCTTCCTCTTCTTTGCCTCTTTCAAATTCCCCCTTCTTCCTTTCCTCTCTTTAATATCAACCTCTTCTTTTACTCTCACAAATTCTCTCTTCTTTTTTTACCTCCTCTTCTTTGCCTGTCTCTAATATCCTCCTCTTCTTTGCCTCTCTCTAATATCCACTTTTTTCTCTTTCTTTACGTTACTCCTCTTTTTTTCTTCCACTTCTTTGCCTCTCTCTAATTTCTCCCTTTCTTTACCTCTCTCTAATATCCTCGCCTTCGTTACCCCTCTCTCTCATATCCTCTTCTTCTTTACCTCTCTCTAATATTCTCTTATTTTCCTCTTTCAAATTTCCCCCTCTTCTTTACCTCTTTGTAATATCCACTTCTTTTCCTTTACGTTCCTCCTCTTCTTTTCCTCTATATGTTCCTCTGCTTCTTTTCGTCCTCTTCTTTTCCTCTGTCTACGTTCCTCCTCTTCTTTTCCTCTCTCTATGTTCCTCCTCTTCTTTTCCTCTCTCTATGTTCCTCATTTTCTTTTCCTCCTCTTCTTTTCTTCACTCTAATTTCCCCCTCTTCTCTTCATCTATCTACGTTCCTCCTCTTCTTTTCCTCTCTCTATGTTACGCCTTTTCTTTTCTTCCTCTTCTTTTCTTTTGTCTTATTTCCTCCTCTTCTTTTCCTCTCTCTATGTCCCTCCTCTTCTTTTCCTCCTATTCTTTTCTCCTGTCTAATTTCCTCCTCTTCTTTTCCTCTCTCTACGTTCCTCCTCTTCTTTTCATCCTCTTTTTTGCCCCTCACTAATTTCATCCTCTTCTTTTCTTCTCTCTGATTTCCTCATCTTCTTTTCCTCTCTTTATTATCCTCTACTTTCTCTCTTCCTCTTTCTTTTCCTCATTATTCTCATTTTGTCCCATCCTTCGTCTCCCCATCCTCCTACGACTTCTACTATTCTTTCCTTCTCCTCTCTTTCTCTCATCCTCTTCCTTCTCTCCGTTTCCTCTTCTCTTTCTTCACCTCAACCTCCTCCTGCTTATTATACTTATTCTTTACTCCTGTTCCTCTTTTCCTTTTCTTCTCTTTTTCTCTCCTCCTCCTCCTCCTTTTTCTTCTTCTCTTATACTGATTCCTTCTTCTTCGTATGATGAAGGGGTGCTGAAAAGTTCTCAGCCTGGATACAATTCTCCAAATCTGACCAAATAACCAAATATTGTTTCGTTTTGTTTTATTGAATGTGAAGTGCTTGGACCGATAACTTTATCATTATTATTATTATTGTTGTTGTTGTTGTTGTTACCTCCTCCTCCCCTTATTTATTCTTCTCGTCTTCCTTCTCCTTTCGTTCTTTCTTTTCCTCCTTCCATCTTGCCTGTGCTGCTCGGACTACAAATAAATTTCTCATCTTTCCTTTCTATGCCGATTATTTTCTTCTATAACTTTTCGATTAAAAAAAAAAACTAAAACGAGAATATGTTGAATATCGATTTTCTCCACTTAGAATATTGGCGCTACATAATCTTCCTAACAACCTCATTTACATCAGCATATCTACACCTTTCAACCATAAGGAAACATTTTATTTTTGACTTTTATTCTGACTTTGGTTCATTCATTTCCCGGTTTAACGACAATATATTGTTATCCTCCTCTCATCTTACTCCATTCCTTTATATATATATATATATATATGTATGTGTGTGTGTGTGTGTGCACATTTCATTAAAAACGACAGACAAGGTGCTTTTATTTAGTCTTTTATACAATTTCTCATGCGATCTAATAATTTTTTTTCTTTTCGGATGATAAATTATATAAAAAACTTAAAATTTAAAACCTAACGTTACAGTTAAAATTAATAATTCACCTCCTAGAACAAAATTAAATAGGGCAAATATTATTTACGAATTTAAATGCCCATTAAGGAATTATATTCCTCAACAATTAACTTTCGTAAATAATTATATAGGCCACACTACAACATGTTTAACACGCAGACTAACTCTACACCTTTCTGACCATAGCTCAATTAGATCTCATTTAAATATTCATGGAGGCCTACCGGACACTATTTGTAACATACTTGTTGACAACAACAATATAATAGCATCATCTACATGCAAAAAAAGGCTAAAAATAATGGAAGCCTTATTAATAAAAACAAACAAATATTAACTTTGAACATGGGCATAATATCTTGACCGTGTTTTGAAACAAAAAAAATGAAAACATTTTATAAAACATACATACAACAAACTATTTCTAATTTTAGCAGTTAAAATATAATCCTTGAAAATGGCTAAATGTATAGCCGAAAGCGCTCGGATAAAAATAAAATTCGGACAGTTTTTATATAAAGAAAAGAAAAAAATATTAGATCGCATGAGAAATTGTATAAAAAACTAAATAAATACTGTTGTATTCAATGAAATGTGTATGAAAGAAGGATTACTGCCTAAATGCACAATATATATATATATATATATATATATATATATATATATATATATATATATAAAGAACAGTAAGATATGGTCTTATAGATATATTTATTTTACAAAATAGTGCTCAATGTAAATTTACGGAGCATTAATATTATAAATTAACTGATTTAAAATATGTTTTTTTTTCGCTACACAGTTCTAACCATTTTTCAAAAATGTTTAACAGCTTCGAATTTAATTTTGTAATTAAATTAAAGACATTAGTACCATTTCATCCTCAATAAGTTACTCCAAAGTTCGCTTGAGGATGAAATGGAACTAATGTCTTTAATTTAATTACAAAATTAAATTGGAGCTGTTAGCTTTCCATTTGTGAAACATGGTTAGAACTGT